TGCGCAAAAAGACAGGAATATGTTAATGCAAGCCTTGGAGGATCACAACTCTTAAGTTCAGATGAGCCCAGACCAACTTACAGGCTCTCCATCAACCAAAGGAGGGGCAAAAAAAAGGATTGCAGTTAAAATGTTCATCTAATAACACTTTTTACCAATAATTACATGATTGATCAATTAATTGTGACCACAATACTGATAGTATATGTAAAATACTTCCAATTCTTTAGGTTTAAGCATGATTTGTATTATCATAATTTGAGGAAAGGTTTTGGGTAGATGTGAGAAACTGAAAAGATTTTTGTGTAAAATGTGAAAGTATGTATCCACCAAATGAGAGGAAGAGCATGTGCCTCAATTAAGGGACAGTTATCTATACAATGTTGGACATAACCATATATGGTTGGCCTATACACAGCAAGTTGGAAGCAAACTTGAGCTGGATTAGCAAGTCAAGACAAGATTTCCATACTTATTTGGTAAGAATACTGCATAACCGACCCACATGGACTCGAGTTTCTCATGTCAGTAGCTCTTGAAAATAACACCAATGAGATATAGAAATATATGTGCATTCAGGATATGCATGTATTATATATTAAAACTTAAAGAATATAGACAAAAATAGAACATAAAATCATACCTTTTGGGATCTCACTGAGCCAGCCATATTTGCAGCTTTCCCAATCACGCTTGAAATTTTATTGGATGAATCCTTCCCAGGCGGGTTGTCCTCTGCAGGCATATGGAAAGGATGCTTACCTGCCTTCCCTGGAGTTTTCTTCAAGGATTTTCTCTTGTGTCTTCTAAAGTGTGCTAGCTGTAGAGATGTATCTTCACGCCTATCCTAATGGAAAGATGATTGCAGTATAAGATAGTTTAATTTCTGTTAATATTAAAGTAGGACAGAAAAAGCAGTTGCTATTACCCAATGATGAGGCATCACTCCCAGAATTGATTCCCTGAATTCTCTGCATTCAAACTGTAATTTAAAATATGTATATTAAATACATCTTTCAGGAAAGCTTCAGACAGCATAATGTTTCTCAAGTTACTTCAATTAGGGAAGCTATGATCTATAATCTTAGAAACAAACGCAAACTCAAAAGAATATTTGACATGATAATTCTGAAGCCTTAAGAAATTCAAACAGAAAAAATATTGATATGTTCCAATTATAGGGATATAAGGATATACTTTTCCCAGAGTGTCATTTATAAAAGCCAAAGAAGAGTGATGTATATCTGTTGGGCTAATGGGATTTAATAAAAAAAAACTTTTACTCCTTACAACGATGTCTTCCAATTCATCTGGAGTCTCCCTCATTCTAGTTGAAATTTGGTGGGTCACTCCATTGATGCATGACAGTATACTGTAAATAACGAGGCAGGTTTCCTGGACGCCAATGTTTTTAACTTTGAACAAAAGCCTATTCCTCCCATTAGTTTCCTGGAGTAGGAATCCGCACTAAATCAGGACAAACACATAGCTAGAAACTGATCCAAATTTGTTCATCCTTTCCTTACCCATCCCAGTTTAGTCTTCTGGTGGGAACACCTTGATGCGATGAGAGTGATGATTGTGACAATCATCGTTGCGCGAATCCCCGGGGCCCCCTCGAACCGTCGTATAGTTCCTTTGAACCGATTCCCGATATATTTGCTAACTGATTCCTTTCGATACACGAACCAGTTCCCAAAAATTGGCGTACCACTTACAAGTATGCTAGATGCAAAGTTTCTTTAAGTGCACATGCGAAGGACACAATGCAATGTGTGCAATTAAGTGAAGGGAGACACAATAGAGTATATATATGAGCCGATGACTTTATTGTAACTTAAGTATGTTAACTATATGTAAAATTAAACCATGATCCTAAAATGAGCTCCGTGAAAAAGAAACAGAACAAAGAAACAAACTCCATCAAAAAGAAGTATTTAAGTATTTTATATAAAAAATATATTAAAATTCATAATTAGCATTCTAGTTTATTCTAGTTTTCTACTATATACTGTGTTTGGGTCAAAAGTTGATGTTTTCATTGCCTTGAATCTATTACAACTTTAACCGTTACAATAAACTCAAATGAATAAAAAAATTGATCTTTTTATAAGATCTCCTTTATAATAAAAATGAAAGATTACAACTCTTATCAAACTACACACAGATCCTATTTATTAGTCTCTGTTTTGCGTGGGGTCTTTGCCTGTGCCGGGGACGTTGATATCCGTGAACCATCGCGGATCAGATCCGGTTGACAGAAAATTGACAGAGCTCCTACTTCACCAAGTAAGTATTCGCTTGAAGCTTTGAAATCGACCAAGCGAAATCAGTAGCTCTTTTCGAGATTAAGACCAAACCTAATCTCGAGGAACGGACGGACGGAGCTTCAGATCTCTCGAACTCTCCCTCTTTATGCTGAAGAACTTCGCCGAAATCAGTTAGTCTCCTCTGAAATTCGTGCTCCCTTGCTCTCCAACTCGGCAGCACCTCCTCCTCTTGATAATAAATCGTCTCTCATGGAAGGAGACCCTAGGCTTGTATTTATAGGGCTCCGGATGCGGGGTATTTGGATAAGAATGATAGATTTGGCTATATCTTCAGTTGACAACGGCCTAACCATGTTTGTAGATGATATCCAATCAGTTGAGATGCTCTGGAACTAACAAATCCCAAGAAAACAGCAAAAAAACCATCGAAAACGCGTTTCAGGCAGTTAAGGGCGCGCGACAGACCGATGTGACCCGCGTAGGCGCGGGTCAGCTCGTGCTGACCCGGTCAGTTTGGCACTTGGGCGTTCTTTCATTTTTTTTTTGTCGTTTTGCTTATTTACCCGTCGTGTTGACTTGTACGCTTCGTTAACTTGTTTCATGTGCTCGTTAGCTTCTTTATGGCAATTGGAGCTGACCGACAAGCGCAGCGGGAACTTGGAGCTGACCGACTCGCGCGAGCTAACTGACGAGTGCATTTGGTCATTTGAAGCTGACCGACGAGCGCAAGCTGACTGACGAGTGCGTTTGGTCACTTGGAGTTGACCGACACGCGCAAGCTGACTGACGTGCGCGAGCTGACCGACGGGTGTGACGGCCAATTGGAGGTGGTCGGTGAGCGCACGAGACACAGTTGGTTCGCCATTCTGGTTCATGCACTTGTCAGCGTCAGATAATCCTCTTAGACTCGGATAACGACGTTCGTCATCTTCTCTCTGTCTCGAGCTGTGTGCGGACACCTATAGGTATTTTTAGACGTCTACACTTTGAAAAACTTTAAGCGTATCCAAAAAAATTACAACATACCACTAACCGAACTTGCATACCGAAGCAAGCTACCCCCTAACGAATCCAAAATTTCTAAGTGGCGAATTGCGTACCCAAATTCGTACCATGACCCGCTGCGTACCGCATATTGTGTAGCTATGGTACATTTACAACAACGATGCGTTTTCTCTAAATTCTATTTCATGGCACCTAACATTGAGAACCAGTTGCAATGGTGAAGTGATAAGCTGCAAACTATGTCTTCAAAGATGTTTGGCACATGAATGACATGCGTGAATGCTTTCTCAGTCATGTTCCAAAAGCACGCTTATGAGATGCACGTATATGCGTGCATACAAAAAAATGAATCTGCTACAACCGTTATTATTTTCTCTACGACTCTACCTCTTATCATAATTCCCAGTTAATATAGTTGCACAATATCTAGCTAGGACAAGGGTTTGTTTCTTGGTAGCGTACCTCTCCAGGATGGCGACTATTCAAAGCATGAACATCTAGCTTGTAGTTATGTTGTGGAATCGTCTGTGGTACATCTGACGGCTGCACCTGGATATTCTGCAACATCAAAATGTGAAAGTGAATCAGAACATAGAAAATTAAATGCTGAACAATGAAATATTTGAGGACCATGTTCACTTATACACACAAACAAGAAAATCCGAAACCTCTAGATGGACATGAACTGATGAACAATAGGAAGAACATTTTGATTGGACTAGGAAAAGGTTAACAAATAAAAATATATTTGATTTTGTGTAAAAAGCGCATTATTATAATAAACCAAGGGGCAGAGAGGTTCTTTCTCTTTCGACCTTTTCTTTAACACTAATCCTATGAAGTATAAAAGCCAGATTATCCTCCTTAATTACACTTCTTAATCCTCATTCTTCTGTGCTTAATAAGAAACAGGATATTATCGGCGATTTATTGGTTTTGGGGGCCTTACACTATGATAAGTTTGATTCTAAATCGGTTATCATTTTTGAAAGTTTATAGCCGATAATGCCGCGATAAAGTGAGTTATGGGCCGATATTGTCGGCCCGAAAAAATCAGAATTATCGGCTTTGGTTTGAGTTTTGATTTCGGGCAACGGACACATATTCAATGGACTTTAAAACTGACCCGACCAGAGTTTCTACCGTTGGTTAGTGATTCTAAACATAATTATTTACATTTTAGTACGTTTATATTTCATTAAGTATGGTTAGATTAGATTTTAGAATACTATATTATATATATCGGTAATGTCACTCTGATAAATACTACTTATCCCCAATATATCCCCGATCCGCTATTTGATATGAATTTTGACCGTCCGATAAATCCCCAAAAAGCGATATTTAAATTCTTGGCAGTAACTGAAAAAAATACATACAAACATGAAAAACAATCAACTGAGAAATATATTACATAACATATAAGAAGACGTGTGTGAAGGTGTGGGGGAGCAGGAAATAGAGAAAGAAAGCTACTTCATTCTTCCTTGTCCATCGAACTGTACCAGTGCGGCCAGCGAAAGCATAAAATGCAAAGTGGCGGAGATCCACAGTTGCGCTGTTCCCAGAATCCTGCAGAAAATTACCGATGTTTTATCAGAACGGTAGCCTGCAGCGAAAAGTTTACTCTTACTGACAGTGAATCCTCATAAGTCTCCTTAATATTTTAAAATCCAGTTCATTTTTTTCACAGCATCCAGTTCCCGTAAAAAAAGGTAAGAAAAAACCTAATATTCCAATAAATGTGCATTAAAGTTTGGTTTTTTTGGAAAAGTTGTTGAATGGATGAAAGAAGGGCAATAGAAATAATTCAGCACTACAAAAGAGGGTTTCTGTTTCG